TTATGGCCAAATCTGCTATTCGGAGGAAGCCCTTGTTGGTCCACCATTCAAAAATATGTGAGTCAAGACCCGGGCAAATGCGGGATTACCCAACAGTGGTGCCCTAGGTGTGTGTGTGTGTCTGTAGATTTAAAACCATGTTAATTGCCAATCTATCCCAAAGGCTGAGAGTAAACGATAATGTCGGGCAAAGTATGGTCGGTCTATACCTTGCTCTCAACCACATCAGATAACTGATCTGTTTCGTGGGGAGGAGAAAGGATTCCAACTCTATCAATTGTGGATGGGGTCGCCGTGAATGGTGGTGTTTCAGATGTGCCATCTGGGCTGCATAAAGATATTTAGCTAGTCCAGCATTCCCAAACCACCTTTGATTGTAGGTGTATATAGCGTGCGTTTACCCTCGTTTCTCCCCACACAAACTTCAGTAGTTTTCTTTGGAAAAGATTCAAGTCAGACAGGTTAATCGCAATAGGTAGGGCTCTGAACAGGTACAAAACTCTGGGTATGATACTCATTTTAATGGAATGCAACCTGCCGAACCAAGAGGGGGGCTTGGATGTGCATCTGTCGAGGTCCCCTGATAATTTCCTATACAATGGAGATAGTCCAAACTTTTTTTGCCTCTAAGACAGACTGTCTATACTTATGCCACCCAAATCTGCCTTTCTAGTCCTCAGCTTACCGCACTCAAAAATGCAGCCTTTCCAAAAGTGAGCTCATGTTTTCTCCCCCTTGTCCAACCCCCCCCCCCCACCCTCCCATTATTTTTTTTACATCAACATCAATAGCACAACTGTCAGTCCCTCCCCTCATGCCAGGGGCTCCTTGTATTCCTGGACTCTGACCTCTCCTTTTGGCCCACATGCAATCAGTGTCCAAATCGTGCTGTCTTATTCCCTTACCTCCCTCATTTGTCTATCCTCCCTTTAGTCTATTGTGAAGGCCGTTGTCAGACTCCTTCACATCACCACGTGGTCAGTGTCCACTTCCTCTCTGCCAATAGTGCCACTGGCTTCTGCTCACCCAACAAATAAGATTCAGATACTAACCTACAAAGCCATCCACAATTTTTTATAGAGCTACAGCACCTTTTTTATCTCCAAAATATCAACCAAATGTCCTCTCCTTCTAGGGTCTCCTGCTCTCTAACTTTCATTTCACCTTCATTGCTTCCCATGCTCACCTTGAGTATTTCATAGCTTCTCCCATCTTCCGGAACTCCTGTCTCAATCTTACACTATCCTACTCTGTCCACCTTTAGGCAATATCTGAAACTTCATCTCTTCAGGGGAGCTTACCCCATCTAAAAAGTGAACTTTTACCTTCTCAATCAACTAACAGTTACTATTGGTTTGTATCAGTTGCCCCTCTTACCTTATAAACTTTCACCAGCAGGGTCCTAATTTCTCTCGCCTTGCATTATGTTGTAATTATACTGTCTCAGTTTTTACTTTTGTAACACGCATTTCAAAGTGTTGGCGCTATATAAATACTTTAAAATGTCTTGTACACCTGTCTGGGTTGCAGACCCTGCTTACCCTTTTGTGGGTATCTCTAATCACCTTTTCTATCTCTCTGACTTTGAATTTTTTTGGCTAAGTTGAGATATCATGCAGTGGGATCTCATATTTTGCTGACATCTCACTGTGGGATTTTGTCTGACCTGGCACCTCTGCTCTTATTGAGTCTCCCATCCTTGAATCCTAGGAAAGGCTAGGATTGAGGTTTGGGCCTTCTCATGTAGACTGGGTGGTCTTTTCCTATGGACTTATGTTTTTTTGGTTAATCTACATTTCCCTTCAGGAATCTGTTACGCAGTTTTGTTTTTGTTTTTTTGTCTGACCACACCTTGCTGGTGGTCTAATTTCTCATAATCCAAGGTACTTGTTCCACCTGTTTTGGTGGATTGCTGGTAGGAACTTTTGCCCCGGCAGTGGCATTGGTCCAGGTCTGGAGCACTAGGTTCATCCTCTGTGGTCTCCCCATTGGTTGTGAAAGTTCCCTGGCCTGTTAGGGTTCTTTGGGCTTGTCAGAGTCTCCTCCCCTTTGTTGGACTGCTTTTGTATGTTCCAGCAGTTTCTTATTTCCTGTATCCCTCAATGGGTGATGTAGAAAATAAGATAAATTTTTTTCTTTTACAGTAAAATCTTAGCGTCCAATGAGGCGCATAGGCCCCACCATCTGTTTTTTTTTTTTTTTTTTTTTGCTGGCCCAGTGTATTGATTATTCCCAAAAAATTAAGGCATGCTAGGTGGAGTGGTTGTTATATGGGAGCTGCCCCTCAACTTTTGTTATCAGTGTCGAAAACTCTGGTAGGTGGCAGTAAAATCACTTTCTGAACTTATGTGTCCCTTAATGAACTTAAATTAGAACTATAGGCATTCATTTTGGAAAGGGTATGGCAGGGTTATAACCCCTTTCATTTTTTTTTGCCATCTTTGTCCCATTGGAGAGATTCCCCTTCACTTCCTGTCCCATAGCCAAAACCGGTATTGGAAGAAAATTCCTGCAAATTAAGGTAATTCCTTGTGGACACCCAGGTCACCAGAACTAGTGTATCCATTAGAAGATTTCTCCTCTATTACTTTTCTGGAGACAACCCCAAATTTGGGGTTTTCCTTTACTTTCACTTTCGATAATGGTAAACAGGACAAATAGAGAGGGTGAATATCCCCAAGGGGGGAACAGACTGCAATAAAAAACTAATAGGTGTTCTAATCCATCTGCATTCTATCCAAAACTGTTAAAATATAACTAAAGGGTTTTTTTTTTTTCAGCTTGCCCACCACACTATAGCAGTTTTACTGGTACAGGCTGGCCGCTCTGCGCAAAATCACATGTTTGTGTATATATACACGTGACTTTGCATTTCCAGGTTGGGGGCATGCACGCACGCGCTGTCCAACCCATGCTGTTATTGGCTCCTGTAGGTCTCCTTCACTAGGTCCTAGCCAGCAATTCATAGCAGTTGACAGGAGAGATATCTGTGAGTGTAAACACAGATTTCTCTCCTGTCGGCTGGGAGGTGCTGGTTTTTATCTTTCTGCTAAACAGGGTATAATTAAACTGTGTAACGGTAGTGTTTTTACTGGGGGACGTGCTGGCTTTTATCTCCCTAACACACAGTTAACCCTTTGATTGCCTCAGATGTTAACCCCTTCCTGCCCAGTGTCATTACTACAGTCAGTTTTTTATTGGCACTGATCACTGTTTTAGTGTCACTGGAGATATCGGTGGCAGTTAGTTCCTACTCAGAGTGTCAGAATGTCCACTGTACTATCGCAGTCCCGCTATAGGTTGCTGATCGTTGCCATTACTAATATAAAAAGAAAAAAAAATTCCAGTACATATACCTCCATTTGTAGACACTATAACTTTCACGCAAACCAGTATACACTAATTGGGATTTTTTTTTACCAAAGCAATATAGCCTAATACATTTTGGCCTAAATTTATGAAGAATTTTTAAAATAAAATATTGTTTACATTTTCTGTCTTTTTTTCCATTTATAGCACAAAAAATAACCCAGTGATGATCAAATACCACCAAAAGAAAGCTCTATTTGTGCGAAAAAAAATTATATAAATTTCATTTGTGTACAGTGTTGCATGACCGAGCAATTGTCAGTTAAAGTAACGCAGCGCTTTGTAGCAAAAAATGGCCTGGTCATTAAGGGGGGTAAAATCTTCTGGAGGGCAAGTGGTTAAAGAGATTTTAACCACTTCAATACAGGGCACTTTTATACCCTTCCTGGCCAGGCCAATTTTCAGCTTTCAACATTGTTGCACTTTGATAATTGCGTGGTCATGCAACACTGTACCCAAACTAAATTTTTATAATTTTGTTCACATAAATAGAGCTCTCTTTTGGTGGTATTTGATCACTGCTGAGTTTTTTTTTATTTCTGCTAAATAAAAAAAAAAAGACTGAACATTTTGAAAAGAAATATGTTTTGTTTTTGTTATAGCATTTTACAAATAAATATTTGTTCATAAATGTAAGCCAAAATATGTATTCTGCTACCTTTTTTTGGTGAAAATAACCCAAATCCGTGTGTTATAAAGTCCACAAACTATTGTATATATCTGAAAATCAATCAATCCTTCTATACTGACAGTGACATCTCATTTCTTGATGCCCAAAAATGTCAGGACAGTACAGATATCCCCCAAATTACCATTTTTTTTTTGGAAAGTAGACTAGGGTATTTAGTAAGAGGCATGGGGGAGTTTTTTTTAAAGTTGTTGTTTTTTTGTTATATTTTGTAGAAAATGTAAGAAATTAAAAAAATAAAATTCACTATTTTTTTTTTAACTACATATGGTCACCAGTGCAATGCAGTGCAGTACAGTGTCGTCATATAACTGCTGTGGCGGTGATCAGGGACACTGGTGACAGTATAAACAAAAAAAAAAAAAAATTAAAAAACAACTAGCAATACAATTGTATATGATGGATGGCATGAAAGAAAGCCATTCATTGTTTACAATTGTCATGTGACCTGCTGTGATTGGTCACAGAGGTCACATGGTACCGGCAACGGGTCGGTACACAGATCAGTACTGGCTGTGTCCGATGGACAGAGCTGGTGACAGATCTAGTCACAGCACAGCCCCTTGGGTGTGAGGTGGTGATCCGGGTGGACATCATATAACGTCCTCCTGGATCACCAATGACGAAAGTCCTTCCTGGCCATCATTTTATTATAGGCTAGGCTGGAAAGGGTTAAGATGACTATATAAATCTTGCTTTTAGCAAATGGCTATGACCACCTCCTATCTCCTCTGACAGTCTGCCTTTTAAAGTCAGCTGGATGGAAGTTTATTTTCCTAAGTACCATCTTGCTCTGTCCATCACTGACCTAACAAGACGGCAACTTATTTAAACCTCAGGCCAAATAGTGCTTTCTGTAAGCTTTTTGTCTGGAAATGGCTAACTGGGCTTGACATATCATAGGTTGGGTATAATGTGCTGCATTTGTATCTTTCCATTTTAGGCCCTCTGTTTTCCAGCAGCCAGTGATATTTCTGGGGGCAGATGTAACCCATCCCCCTGCTGGTGATGGCAAAAAAACCTTCTATTGCAGCTGTCGTTGGCAGTATGGATGGCCATCCAAGCCGTTACTGTGCTACTGTGCGTGTGCAGACCTCTCGCCAGGAGACCACCCAGGAGCTGTTGTACAGTCAGGAAGTCATTCAGGATCTTAGTAACATGGTGCGTGAGCTTCTCATCCAGTTCTACAAGTCCACTCGCTTCAAACCCACCCGTATAATCTACTACAGGGGTGGTGTATCTGAAGGCCAGATGAAACAGGTGAGTTAAGAGTTTCCACTCAGACCAAAAACTTGCTAGAGATGATGAACACTGTGGAGATGGAGTGTGGAAGAGGCACCAATGCAGTACTTTCAAGATTGGAAGCAGAACTCTGTGTGAAGACAGAAGGAAACTGAAAGGCGCTTCTAAGTGCATAATTCCACTGTTGTGTATGAAAAAATGGTTAAAAACATTTACACGATCCAAGATCTGAAAAGGCTCAGCATAGTAATCTCTCTTATTTCAAGGTTCCTGTCACTGTATAAATGTAGGGGTAAAACGGAGAGGCGCTTCTAAGTGCAATATGTCAAAGTTTAATTAAAAGTACAGTTAAAAACACCTACAGAATCCGAGATATTTGAAAGCTCACCAAGGTATCGATGCTTGTGCGGGGTTCTTGTTAAAGTTCTTTCCTCTGTTGTGTTATGCCAACCTGTAGCTGCAGGGGGAGTAGAGGACACAGCTTCTCAGAGGGCTGACCTGCTTCGGGACAGTGTGTGGAGCGCATTGATCATGAATGACGCCACTTTGTCGATGTGCTCTACGCCGGCATGCATTTCACGAGTGATCCTGGAAGAGTGGCGTCCTCTGCTCCCCCTGCAGCTGCTGGTCGGCATAATGTGAGAGGAAAGCATTAACAAGGACCCCGTACATACGTTAATACCTTGATGAGCTTTCATATATCTCTGATTCTGTAAGTGTTTTTTAGCCGTACTTTTTAATTAAACTTTGACATGCTGCACTTAGAAGCTCCTCTCCAGTTTCCCCCTACATTTATACAGTAACAGGAACCTCGCACTAAGATTACTATGACGAGCCGTTTTAGATCTTGGATCCTGTAAGCGATTTTAACCGTTATTCCATACACAGCAGTGGAATATTGCACTTAGAAGCGCCTTTCTGTTTCCTTTTGCATCCAGTCCTATAGTATGTTCAGGTTAACTAATCATCTTGATATGAATCCTTAACCTCTACTCCATATTTAAAAGCAAAGAATCCAATAAAATTTCTCAATCTCTCAGCATCTTGATTTGTATGGAGCTTTGCTTGCCAGTCATATATATATCACCTTTTTTTTATATATATGTACACAGTGGTCAAAAAAATTAAAGGAACATTTTGAAAACATCAGATATCAATGGGGAAAAAAATATCATACTGGATATCTATACTGATATGGACTGAGTAATGAGTTAGTAACGTAAGGATGCCCCATCGTTTGAATTCAGTCCTCTGTAGGTTGATCATTTTCCTTTCCATCAGACATCCCGAAAATCCAAGTGAAAAAATGATGCAGCAGGCTAGTCCATTTTGCTGAAATTTCATTGCAGCAACTCAAAATGCTACCTAGTAGTAGTTGTTATGGCCCCCACGTACTTGTATCCATGCCTGACATCGTCGGGGCATGCCCCTATTGAGACGACAAATGGTGTCCTGGGATATTTTCTCTCAGATCTGGACCAGGGCATCACTGAGCTCCTGGACAGTCTGAGGTGCAATCTGGCGGTGTCGGATGGACCGAAGCAGGATATTCCAGAGGTGTCCTGTTGGATTTAGATCAGGCGAGCATGGGGGCTATTCAGTGGTAACAATTCCTCCATCCTCCAGGAAATGCCTGCATACTCTCACCACATGAGGCCGGGCATTGTCATGCTCCAGGTGGAAGCTGGGACCCACTGCACCAGTGTAGGGTTTGACAATGGGTCTAAGGGTTTCATCCCGATACCTAATGGCAGTCAGGGTGCCATTGTCTAGCCTATAGAGGTCTGTGCGTCCCTCCATGGATATTCCTCCCCAGACCATCAGTGATCCACCACCAAAACGGTCATGCTGAACTATCGTTCAGGCAGCATAAAGTTCTCCATGGCTTCTCCAGACCCTTTCACGTCTGTCACGTGCTCAGGATGAACCTGCTCTCATCTGTGAAAAGCACAGTGCGCCAGTGGTGGACCTGCCAATTCTGGTATTCAGTGGCAAATGCCAATCGAGGTTTATGGTGCCGGGCAGTGAGCACAGGGCCCACTAGAGGACGTCAGGCCTTCAGGCCACCCTCATGAAGTCTGTTTCTGGTTGTTTGGTCAGAGACATTCACACCAGTGGCTTGCTGGAGGTCATTTTGTAGGGCTCTGGCAGTGCTCTTTCTGTTCCTCCTTGCACAAAGGAGCTGATATCATCCTGCTTATGGGCTAAGGACTGTCTACGGCCCTGTCCAGCTCTCCTAGAGTAACTGGCTGTCTCCTGGAATCTCCTCCATGCTCTTGAGACTGTGCTGGGAGACACAGCAAACCTGGCAATGGCACATATTGATGTGCCATCCGGGAGGAGTTGGACTACCTGAGCAATCTCTGTAGGGTCCAGGTATCGCCTTATGCTACCAGTAGTGACACTGACCCTAGCCAAATGCCAAACTAGTGAAAAACAGTCAGAAAAGATGAGTAGGGGAAAAAAGTCAGTGGCGCCCACCTGTAAAACCATTCCTGTTTTGGGTGTTGTCTCGTTGTCCATTTAGTGCACTTGTTGTTAATTTCATTAACCGCCAAAGCAGATGAAACGGATTAACAACCCCCCTCTGCTACTTAACTGACCAGATCAATATCTAAGGAGTTTAATTTACTTGATGCTATACTATGATTAAAAAGTGTTCCTTTTTTTTTTTGGAGGTGTGTGTATTTTTTATTATTATTTCTATTTTATTTTTTTTTAAATAATATACAGTGCCTTGAAAAAGTATTTGTACCCTTTGAAATTTCCACATTCTCATGTTGCAACCAAAAACATAAATGTATTTTATTGGTATTTTATGTGATAGACCAACGCAAAGTTGCACATAATCGTGAAGTGGAAGGAAAATAACTGTTTTTTCAAAATTTATTACAAATAAGTATCTGAAAAGTGTAGCGTACATTTGTATTTAGCCCCCTTTGCTCTGATACCCCGAACTAAAATCTAGTGGAACCAGTTGCCTTCAGAAGTCACCTAATTAGTAAATAGAGTCCACCTTTGTAATTTAATTTCTGTATAATTACAGCGGTTTTGCTGAAGCCCTCAGAGGTTTGTTAGAGAACATTAGTGAACAAACTGCATCTTGAAGGCCTCGGAACACACCAGACAGGTCAGGGATAAAGGTGTGGATAATTTTAAAGTAGGGTTAGGTTCTAAAAAAGTATTTGAAGCTTTGAACATCTCATGGAGCACTGTTCAGTCCATCATCTACCTAAACTGACAGGCCGGGCAAGGAGAACAATAATCAGAGAAGCAGCCAAGAGGCCCATGGTAACTTTGGAAGAGCTGTAGAGATCCACAGCTCAGGTGGGAGAATCTGTCCACAGGACAACTATTAATTGTGCACTCCACAAATCTGGCCTTTATGGAAGAGTGGCAAAAAGAAAGCCATTGTTAGAAGAAAATCATAAGTAGTCTCATTTGCAGTTTGCGAGAAGCCATGTGGGGGACACAGCAAACATGTGGAAGAAGGTGCTCTGGTCAGATGAGACCAAAATTTAACTTTTTGGAATAAAAGCAAAACGTTATGTGTGGCGTAAAACTAACACTGCACATCACCGTGAACACCCATCCCCACCATGAAACATGGTCGTGGCAGCATCATGTTGTGGATATGCTTTTCTTCAGCAGGGGCAGGGAAGCTGGTCAGAGTTGATGGAAAGATGGATAGAGCCAAATACAGGGCAATCTTAGAAGTAAACCTGTTGGAGTCTACACAAATCTTGAGACTGGGGCAAAGGTTCACCTTCCAGCAGGACAATCACCCTAAACATACAGCCAGAGCTACAATGGAATGGTTTAGATCAAAGCATATTCCTGTGTTAGAATGGCTTAGTCAAAGTCCAGCAAGACTTGAAAATTCCTGTTCAGATGTTCTCCATCCAATCTGACAGAGCTTGAGCTATTTTGCAAAGAGGAATGGGCACAAATTTCACACTCTGTGCACAGCTGGGAGAGACAAACCCAAAAAAGACTTGCAGCTGTAACTGCAGCGAAATGTGGTTCTAAAAAGTTTTGACTCGGTGGCTGAATACAAATGCACGCCATACTGTTTACATATTTATTTGTAAAAAATTTTGAAAACCATTTATCATTTTCCTTCCACTTCACATTTATGTGCCACTTTGTTGTGTGTCACATAAAATCCCAATAAAATAAATTTACGTTTTTGGTTGTAACATAACAAAATGTGGAAAATTTCAAGGGGTATGAATACGTTTTCGCGTGTGCATATATGTTTGTGATATCTATATATATATATAGATATATCTATATATATATATATATGTGTGTATACACACGCGCACACATACTTTAGAACTAGCATACGGAACACATTTTCATGTGCTTTAAGTTGATCCTTTTTTTTTATTTATTTTTTTTGGTAGCCAGAAGTTGTCTTCTGTTTTTTCTTAAAGAGTACTTTTTAATCATCTCTATAGGTTGCCTGGCCAGAACTCATGGCTATTCGGAAAGCTTGCATCAGTCTGGAGGAAGATTACAGACCTGGAATTACCTACATTGTTGTACAAAAGAGACATCACACTAGACTTTTTTGTGCTGACAAAACAGAGAGGGTATGTGGAGATTACATTTTTTCCATTCGTAGTCCAATGGAGCTAGCTTTCATTGTATCCTTGCAGTTATTTGAATGGATATAGCTAAATTGATAAATGGATGGTTGTTATAGCTGGAAGAATTCTATACAATTAAGTAGGTTAACCGTTTAAGAACCGCCTTATAGTAGGTATACTGCTACAGGGCGACCCCTGTGCGCAAAATCACACACACACACACACACACACACACACGTAATTTTGCATTTTTGGATAGGGGGCATGCGCAATCCGCAGGAGTCAATCACCAGGTCCCAGCCAGTGATTACCGGCGATCGCCGACAGGGAGGAGGGCTGCTTTGTTTACCAACGGTCGTCCTACCTGTCGGTTTGGGCACACTGCTCTGGATGGCTGTACACAGTGTGTTTACAGTGAAGTGCACACACACCCCCCGCTCCCTAGTAAAACACTCCCATCATACAGTTAACCATTTGATTGCCCCTCATGTTAACCCATTTCTGCCCAGTGCCATTAGTAGTGTCAGTGCTTTTTTTTTTTTTTTTTTTTTTTTTGAGCACTGATCACTGTATTGATGTCACTGGGGATGCCAGTGACACCAAGTCAGTTCCCCCCAGTGTCAGAATTCTCACTGCATTACCACTGCAGTCCCGCTAGAAGTCGCTGATCGCTGCCATTATTAGTATTAAAACAAAAAAAATTCCAGTATCTATACCGCCATTTGTAAATGCTATAACTTTCACGTAAACCAATTAATTTACACGAATTGGGATTTTTTTTTTTTTTTTCAGCAAAGACATGTCGCAGAATACATTTTGTCCTAAATTTATGACGAAACTTGATTTTAAAAATTTTTTTACTGACATAGCAAAAAGTCCAAGATATAATTTTTTTCTCCCAAAATTGTAATAGCGCAAAAATTTAAAAACACACACACGATCAAATAACACAAAAAGAAAGCTCAATTCGTGGGAAAAAAAAGGACGTAAATTTCATTTGGTTTAAGCGTTGCATGACTGCGCAGTTGTCAATTAAAGTAATGCAAACTGCTTCTTTAACTGTTTCCAGACTGCCCTATAGCAGAAATACTGCTACAGGGCGGCACGGGTGCGCAAAATCACATGTGTGTGTGTGTGTATATAAATATATATATATATATATATATGTGTGATTCGCGTTCCCGTGGTTTTCACGCTCCTCCCAGATAGTGTCAGATTGCTTTTCAGTACACCAGTAATCACATTTAACTGCTTGATTGCCAGGAACACGCTCATACACAATAAACCTCCATTGCTAGTATAGTGTATGAACGGATGAATATCATTGATCAGATCAGCACTATACCAGCATTCACATTAGTATAGTGTCCCCAAAAACACAGCATTAGCGGGATCAGCCCCGGCACCTGCCAGCACCTGCGTTTAGCCCCTACGCTTACCAGTGAGCATTATATAATTTAAATGACAACTTTGTGTAAAAATAAATAATAAAAAATGTTGTCATTTTCCTAAAACTTGTGAAAAAAAAAAAAATCTTCTATGGACTCAATATGCCTCTCAGCAGATAGCTTAAGGTGTCTACTTTCCGAAAAGGGGTCATTTGGGGATGTTTGTACTGTCCTGATATTTTACCACCTCAAGAAATGTGATAGGCAGTCAGAAAGTAAAAGCTGTGTAAATTCCATTATCTATACCATAGTTTGTAGACACTATAACTTTCACACAAAGCAATCAATATACCCTTATTGGGATGTTTTTAACCAAAAACATGTAGCAGAATTTTTGGATATTTTTTTAACCGAAATGAGAAAATATAGTTTTTTTTCCCCATAATTTTGTCTTTTTTTCCGTTTTTGCTCCGAATAGCAAAAAGAGGCCTGGTCATTAAGGGGGGTAAATCCTCAGGATGGCAAGTGGTTAAGGAAATAAATGGGAACACTCACCAGGTTGTGTGACCGCTCACCTTGATACTGGCAATCCATGTGACTTTGGAAATCTGAGAAAACATAAATAAACAAGCAGATCCTCACTGGATAGCACATAAGTTGTACAGGCTATCAAGCCTGACCAAAAATCTCTAGTTTAGATATATTTCTAAAGTTAATTTTGTCATCTAATGCGTTTTTTTTTTTTCTTAGGTGGGAAAAAGTGGCAATGTGCCTGCTGGAACTACAGTAGACAGCACCATTACACATCCATCTGAATTTGACTTCTATCTCTGTAGTCATGCTGGGATTCAGGTAGTATATTTATAGCATGTACTTTTGATTTTGTTTGTCCAGAAGTCTGGAGTCTTTAATAGCTATTTGTGTAATATATATTCTTCCAGGGAACCAGTCGCCCATCTCATTACCAGGTCTTGTGGGATGATAATTGCTTTACAGCTGATGAGCTCCAATTGTTAACATACCAGCTGTGCCACACCTACGTCCGATGTACTCGTTCAGTCTCCATCCCTGCTCCTGCTTACTATGCTAGGCTGGTGGCATTCAGAGCAAGATACCATCTTGTGGATAAAGATCATGACAGGTGAGAGTGTAATGATCTGCAGTAGTAATACTTGACATAATGTCATATATCTGGTCATAGATCTACTCACATTACTACTGGGCAAGTAATTGGGAGACACATATTGTCTCTTGTACCAGTTGACTAATATAGTACTGTAGATTTTTTATTTTTTTTATTTTTTATAGTAATTGTTTTTCAAAATTACACAAAGTCATTCTGAATGCCTACAATGTAGAATCCAGGGTCTAAAGGAAAAGGTCCACAATGGGTGTTTTGTAACATGCTAAATCTTCACTCTTTAGTTCTTAATAGTGCATCCTTAAAGATGTTTTTCAGCTGTTAGTAACCAAGCTGGTTCAAATGAATGATTGACTTCACTGCTAGATGTACTCACTGTGTACGCTGTATAAGCTGCATGTGGCATCAGCTTCATATAGTATACAGCACTGTGGTCGGCAGTGAGATGGGAACTTCCCTTCTCACTCCTGGAACAAAATAGTTGGACTGAGCACTGCTCAGCCATTCACAGTGAGCCTTTTATTCAATGAATCAATACAAATCTTCCTTTGACTGAGGTGGAGAGGCAGGCGGATGAAAATCCATCTCACTACAAGAACACTGTACTGTATACTTTATGTTGCTGATTTCACATACAGATTATACAGTGTACACATCAAATAGTGAAGGTAATGGTTCTCTCAACCAGCTTAGTTTCTTTGGACCATTTAAAGTTCACTAAAAGCTGGAGATCAACTTTAACCTCTTGAGACATAGCTGTGTGATCTACTATTCACATGTTTTTTTAATTGTTTAGTTTGCATTGCAGAAGTTTGTTATAAGTTACTACTTGCTGCATTGCTGAGTTAGTAGTCATGCACACTGGATGTTTTTACAGCTGCTATTTTTGGCTTTTGACGTTTTTTCTACAGCCAGTAAACTCCAGCATGTTATCCTATGTGTCCATGCACACCTAGACTGTAATCAGTGTTTTTTGGCTGAAAAGAAAACTAGAACTAGTGGGTTTCTAGAGGAGTATTTTAGCTGTAAAACACTGCAAACCAGCGTTTTTTTAACTTTTTTTTTTTTACGGAAAAACACTGAAAACTGCTAAAAAGTGCAAAATAGAAAAAACACCACTAAACGCTAATACAAAAAACCGCTAAAAAATTCACATTTTTAACCACTTGCCCTCCTGAGGATTTACCCCCCTTAATAACCAGGCCTCTTTTTGCTATTTGGCACTGCACTAATTCATCTGAAAATTGCGTGGTCATGCAATGCTGCATCCAAATGAAATTTACGTCCTTTTTTTCACACAAATAGAGCTTTCTTTCGGTGGTATTTGATCACCTGTGCGCTTTTTATATTTCACGCTATAAACAAAAAAAGACCAAAAATTTTGAAAAAAAATGATATTTTTTACTTTCAGCTATAAAAAATAAAAGTAAACTCAAAGTTGGTTATAAATTTAGGCCAAAATGCATTCTGCTACATGTTTTTGGTAATAAAAATCCCAATAAGTGTATATTGATTGCTTTGTGTGGAAGTTATAGCATCTACAAACTATGGTATAGATACTGCAATTTACGGCATTTTTTGCTATACAGCGCTGCGCTAGTTTAACGGACAATTGCGCAGTCATGCAATACGGTACATAAATTAAATTTACATCCTTTTTTCCCCCCCAAATTGAGCTTTCTTTCGGTGGTATTTGATCACCTGTGCGGTTTTTATTTTTTGCGCTATAAAAAAAGGATGACAATTTTGAGGGAAAAAAAACAATATTTTGGACTTTTTGCTATAAAACATGTCCAGTAGAAAAAAATTTAAAAATCAAATTTAGTCATAAATTTCTGCCAAAATGTATTCTGCGACATGTCTTTGCTAAAAAAAAAAAAAAACCCCAATACGTGTAAATTAATTGGTTTACATGAAAGTTATACCGTTTACAAATGGCGGGAAAGATACTGGAATTTTAAATTTTTTTTAATACTAATAATGGCGGCGATCAGTGACTTATGGCGGCGATCAGCGACTTATGGCGGGACTGCGGCAGACATTCTGACACGGGGGGAACTGACTTGGGGTCACTGACATCCCCAGTGACACCAATACAGTGATCAGTGCAAAAAAAAAAAAAAAAACAGACACTGTACTAATGGCACTGGGGAGGAAGGGTTTAACTTTTTTATTTACTGAAAGGGTTAACTGTGTGAGGGGACTGTTTTACTAGGGGGCGGGGGTGTGTACTGCAGGGGAACATGCTGATCCGGAGAGATAAACTCTTCTCTCTGGATCAACATGTTAGGAGCTGACAGGGGACTGACAGAAAGCACGGCTGCAGTGTAAACACTGCAGCCGTCCTCTCTGTCAGTGATTGCCACTAATCGCTGGGACACAGTAGGTAATGATCGGCCGTGACGCGGCGACTGACACCCGCGGCCGCGCGATCGGCGGGATGGGCAGGGCAGGCACGCGCTTCGCGTGCGCCCCCTACCTGTTTTGCAAACGCACGTTTTAAAACGTGGTTTCGCCCAGCCGTGCCGACCTGCCACCGTATTTCTACAGTGGCTGGTCGGCAAGAAGTTAACGTAACGTTACACAGCATTATTTAAAACGCCCAGTGCGCATGGAGCCTTAGTCTGTTGTACTATGCGTAAGTAGGCTGTGTTGACAAAGACTTGTGGTTGTCCTTTAGGGAGTGTATACCTTTCTGTAACAGCACTTTTCAGTTGCTACTTGGGGGTTTTTGGGTCAAAATTCAGTCAGCCCTGGGAAAAAAGCAGGAAATGCCCCCTATAACAGCAGCTGGGCCCTGTTCTGTTTTATATACAATCCATTGCCAGCAAAAACTTTGTTTTGCACAGAGAATGAAGATTTAGAACCTGCTAAGTAACCGGTCATGCTGTGGTTTTGAGGTTTCTTCTAGTTTTCAGTTCATTTGAGTTGACATGGCAGAACAGGAAGTATTGGGAAATCTGACCATTATAATGTTGTCAAAGCTGTATTGTCTCAACTATAGAAGTATGGGTCCATTACTCTTTATGTGAAATTGTTGCACAGGTGCAGCCAGTAAAAGGAGCCAAGTCTGGGATGTCAATACTGTGGGTGGCTGCTGTTGCAAAAAAAGAAGTAAACATCGGGGGGGTCTGTATAAGATTAGCTTAGAGGGCAATAAAGGGGAGTGGGGCTTGGTTATTTTTATAGTTTTGAAGTTTAGTACTCCTAAAACAAAGATGGTATTTGTGTGTTTTTGTTTTTTTAAATATCAAATTCATTAATAAAATGTAGCTGCTGCTTGGGTTTGACCAAAAGGAATAGCTTATCTGCCTAAATCCCAACACTTATACTGAGCTTTCCTGCAAGCCACTGAAAAATGTTCAGTCAAGCAGACTGGCTGCACCTTCGTGCTTGCTAGCAGATGAATATTGGGCACTTCAGAAGTGTCATAAGAGGATTCTAATATCTGTTGTATTCACCATCTCAAGATAAAGGGATGATGCATTTCATAGATCACACTTGAATAAATTATTATGTTGACGTTAACATTTTTTTTTCTCTTCTCCAGCGCTGAAGGAAGCCATGTTTCTGGACAGAGCAATGGTCGTGATCCACAGGCTCTGGCCAAAGCCGTGCAGATTCATCACGACACACAGCACACAATGTACTTTGCCTGACAGAGCAGCAGGACACCATACCAATCTCCATTTTCCTCAGAGCTCTGAAATGTATGGTTCAATCCAGTCTCCTGTTGTCAGGGATAGCGCTCTTGGCTTCCTACCAGCACACTTTGGACTTTTTGCACTGAATTTCTTCAGTCTCATCTTAATTGAAGAAAATAATTACTTGGTTTTGTTTCTACATTTTTTTTTTTTTAAGTATATCAAAAACTTCAACTGTCTTCTGATGCGTTGGACTGAACCTTTACCTCAAACCTTTCAAGATATCTGAAGATTTTGCTCCAAATGGTCACTTTTTATTTTTTCTTTTAAAAGCCAGCATTTCTTCATCTTTGGTTATAACAAAAGTTGTCATACTTGTCTTAACTTCACGCTGCTTTGTGAGTATATACATATATGGTAAAGTATAACTGTGTGGGGCCATAAACTTACTAAATGAGGTTTAGTCTTTACTGTAAAATACCTTTTTAAGTGATTTTGTTTTTTTACAGGTATCGCTGTCTGTCAGGTTCTTTACCATTGCAGCTTGTACTTTAGAGTGTGCAGGCTGCAAAACAATTGCACTATATTGCAGATTAATTAAATTAGTTTTTTTCTGTATTAAAATGAATGTGTAATATGAATAAGATTTTAATATAAGGGCCATGTGGTAAACACTGCCATTGGTTTTTAAGATGCAGATTGCCATTATTTTTCCGCTGCCCTCCCCAGGAAACCTCCACTTCCCAAAACCATATGTAAGTATTTGCCAGCACATGAAAATGCCCGTGTTATGCTGCTGTGATTTGATATAAAACCTTTTTACTTGTAGTAAGGGTGAGGTTAGGGATAATTTTTAGGCAATAAAACCTTTCTGTAGACTCACACAGCATTTATATGTAACTGTATTGTAGATGTAAACATCCCACTTTCTGTCTTAAAATGATTGGTGCAGCTTTTAAAGGATTCTTTGAAATCCCCTTAAAATTCATTTTAGTCCTTCAATGTATCTGAAAAGAAAGCATGTTGCCTATACAGACCAACAACATTTCAGCTGTTGCTCTTGAACTCTTTAGGAACCTGGATGCTGTTGGCAACATAAGCATTCATTTCAGGCTTTTTTTTTTATTTGGATCAGCATTTTTAAAATCTCACAAATGTCTTTCCCATGCCTCAGTTGCAAATAGTCTTTTAGTCCTCCTCACTGCCAGCAGGGCAGGCCCTGCTATAGATCTTTTAGCCCTTTAAAATGTATGATCTAATGTAAGTAACTACAATTCAGTGGAATCCTCACAGTTTATACCAGCATTTTCACTTTGTGATGGATCCCCGAACACCAAAAAACCAATGGGGTACTTACTGCACTTGCTACGTATGAACTTTTCTTTTAAATGAAAGTCTCTTAAAGCCCTTTTGACATGCTTTTCTGCCCGAATATTGCTGCATTTTTCTTTTTATTTCAGAAAGATGTCCAGTAAGTAGAGCTAGTGCTGTATCCACTGATTTGACAAATCCAGACCGCTAATAAACATTCTTATATCTCTGTAAATACCTCAAAGCATTTACTGCTTCAAACTGCTCTGTCCCCTCACCCCACCTTTTCTGCAGCATGGCTACAGGTTTGACCAGCACATGCATTTTTGTTTTTATTTTTGCAGTTTTTCATGGTTTTTTTTTTTTTTTTTTTTTTTTGACACACAGAAACCAGATATACCTCACTGGGATAGTGGAAGTTTTGTCTTTTGTGGGGGGAATATTGATGCTGCTTTGAGCTTTGCTGCTTGGTAACCCCTTCAGTGCCAGGTGATGTCACTCTGCTTGCTTTCTATCTTTGGTTTTCCTCCATGCTTAAAAGCAGTGTATGTTTGTAAAAGCACTTGGTGTGTGTCTGTCGCATTCACAAGATATAATGGTAGCTAGCTTTTGCTTCATTTACTCCAGTTTTTCATCAACTTCTTGTAGTGGTATTTAAAACAACTTTATTTCAACCAGTCCCTTGGGATTGAAGGGGTTGTGAACTGCTCCTTGATGGCTAAGGTGACTTCACAGTGTTCATATATATACAGCATTTTTTTCACCTGTGCATCAGGCAACACATCGTATCTGTGCCATGAGTCTTGCAGATGTCACTGCAATGTCAAAGTTGCCTGCTTAAAACTGGGGAGGGTGGGTCTATTGCACGCTTTCTGTACAAATGTGTAAAAACTGAGCCGGGACACATTCAAAATGTTAAAATGCAGATGTGAAAGTGGGTTATTACTTTTTAACCTACAAACACAGTCCTATGCTTTTATTTATTACTTTTCTGCATAGTTTTATGTAGGAAAAAGCAATGGGTAGGGTGGGATAGTACTACGTAGGGTTTATGTGTTTGTACATTTTTAAAACTTTACAGGTTGTGTTGCAGCAATACTATTGTGAACTGTTTGGACTTAACTATTAGCTGTTTTATTTAGGTGCAGAATGGAACACATTTTGACTGTGTCTGTTCAGAAATTGATAGGAATTTTGTCTGTGGAATGGACTTTGCTTAAAATTTTAAATTTCACAGACTAAAAGGATTGTGAGAAGTGATGCCCTGCTTAAGGTTTTCATTGCCAAGCAGTTTTTATTTTAAATGGGAGCAAATACCACAAGTTTTAGACTTCCAGATACTGCACTTAGTTATGAACTGCTGTGTCTATAAAAACTGCCATGAGACCATTGAATTTTGACTTTAGTGTGCACAAAGTGTGAACTTCAGGGTATAGCGAATACATCTGTTGGATCTATGTACTTCTGCTTATCCTTGTGTTAATAACATGTACAACAACATTGCATCTTCTGAAATAAGGCTGCAGAATTGCATAAGCAAATTGCAGATAATGAGAGGGGTTTACTATTTTACTTAATTATTGGTGTGCATTAAACAAGCACATGTATGATGCATGTATCAGCCTGTAGGGGGGAGGGGGGGGGGGGACTGCAGCGCATGAACCATATGTTTTGAACACTTTTTTGATGTAGCAGAGAAAGGAATTAGGACTATAGTGCTTATGACAATCTTATAAATTTAGGTCACATAGTTTGTGATGTTGAAAAAGGTTTGTGTCTGACCTTCAACTTGCTGATAATTTTACAGGAAGTTTGATCTTAAAGAACCATATTTTATTGCAATTAGTGGACCATGTATGTGGTGAGATGCTTAGAGTGTAACTTTTTTTTTTTTTTTTATCTCTGACATGTATAGTTCCACTTTTGCCCTAATCTGCAAGAGCCACACTTCTGCTTTTCAAGAACCTGAGAAATATGTATTTTGCCTAAAATCTCCCTGAAGTGTCTAGTGTGCTAGGTGACACGTCTATGGTTTTACTACTTTGTGCTACTGAAAACGTAATAGTTAAGCACATGCTGAATTTTATCTTCATGGACTGCATACTTGGTCCGCTCAGTAACGCAAAGTATTGATGTTGAAGGGCCAACCTGAAAACGTTCACAAAAAGCGGTGGTAATCTCCATATTTTTCAGCACAGGATTTCTGTACAAGTGGCAAAAAGCTTCCACACAAATCCCACCCCCCCCCCCCCCCCCCCCCCCTTTGAAGTGTAGGTTATCTTCATCTTCCTACGCATGCTTAAGGCTGAATATGTGATGTACAGGGCTGTACAAGCTTAAAGATAACACCTGTTTTCCTTGAGGGCATTTACAAACTTTCTTTGGGCTAATTTTATGATCTGTGAGACATTTGAAAGGTTATTGTAATATCATGATTAATTTTTATTCTCCTAAAGAGTAAGAAAGATACTTTACCATGTTACTAATTTCTAGTGTTTTATGTGTAGAAATGGGATTTCTTGTACAGGAGTTTGCGTTTGACTTTTGATGTAAACTTTTGTTTCTATACTGTTGCTAGACTTGTAATGTTCAAATTGTGTTTTATGAAATTCTGAATGGATGTCTATAGCAATACGAGGTAAAATGAATTTTTTTGTTTTTTTAAGCTATTTAAGGGCAATTTAGCAGCCCATGTTGCTAGATTGAAATGCTGGCTGTATTTGTTTTTTAACCTTGCAGGGATATCATTTGTTTTTAATGTGTTTAAATGAAAATATATGGCAAAATGCCAAATAAAGGGTCTTATCTGTGTGTTTACTCTTGCACCATTTTAATGCTTTCATTTCCAAACAAAATGTAATGTTGGAAATCTAACTCTTAATTTTCCGCACATAAGACCAAAAAACATTAAATGTTTTCTAAAATGTGTCCAGTATTTGTTGTAATTTATATAATCAAACTGCTCAAACCTGAGGAATGTATATACAATGTCAGGCCATACACAATGTATTTCTGGATAGTTGGTAATAATGCAATAAATATGCTTGTAGGCATTTTACATCGGGGTGCAGAGCATGTTGGAAATATCTGTAACTATTGATAGTCTTGAATATCTAAAAGTGAAACTAAACACTCCTATACTTTACAGCCAAGGAAGCTACCATCTTAGTGTCTGTTTGATTTACAATTGCCATGATGCTGCATATGTGATTTAGTTATGACATCAGCCAATTAATGGCTTGACAGTTCAGTTGAGAGCACAAGCAGCTGTGACAGTTATCATTCATGGCATGCCTTAAATATACTGTAACTGTTTTGGGAAACTGCTAATTGATGGGGCTAGTTCCACTTTAATGGAGTGTTAATGTGAGCCTGATGGAACAATTGGGGGGTGGGGGGATGCTATTGCTGACATTTGCCCTGAAGAAAACGCACCCATATCACATTTTTTACTAAAATTAGCCATACATGCATGCATACGTTTTTCTTTTGTTCAGCCAATAGGGAGAACATTAGACTTCCTCTATCTATGCTAAACCACGTAGATGGTGGCATCTCCCCTCCAGACTATAATATGCTGACAGTGTCAACAGCTGTGGCTGTCCAAATACCCATCTGATTGGATGCAGTCACTGTTTGGCTGACCATTTTCCACCCAGTTTCTATAATTTTTCAGTTGAAGTCCAGTAAGCTGGGTATGCTAG